TTGCATTTCACCCCGTCGTCCAAATCGCTGATGAAGAAATTGAACAGCGCAGGCCCCAGGACTGAGCTCTGGGGGACTCCGCTGCCCACTTCCCCCCAGGTCGAATATGACCCATCCACCACCACCCTCTGAGTACGACCCTTCAGCCAATCTGCAATCCATCTGACTGTGCAGGAATCAATGCCACAGTCACCTAGTTTTTTAATGAGGATGGCGTGTGAGACGGTGTCAAAGGCCTTGCTGAAGTCTAGAAAGACTACGTCCATGGTAACACCTGCATCCATTGCCTTTGTGACCTGATCATAAAAGGCAATCAGGTTGGTCTGACATGACCTGCCCCTAATGAAATCATGCTGGTTGCCCTTGAGCATCACCCCTGAAGCCGGCCCATGACAGATGTGCTCCTGAAAGGATGGCTGGGGCACAAGGTTACTCCAGTGTGGGGCTAGTTGGAAGGTAGCCCTGCACTGAAGCAACATCATGCCACACCCATCCCTGTCAGAATCCACATGTGCATTGCTGCACACTAAAAAACTGTCACAGGATAGTACTATTTAATAGTATTTACAAGTACTAACTTTCAAGTAAAAACTTTCAGTAGAATATTTTAGTTCATTCTGGCCTAATAGCACTGCACATGTAGATACCTAGATGTTTAATGTGTATGTATTGTTCCTGCCTAAATAGTAGGCAGGTCAATATATACTAATTAGGCAGCTCTACTGTAAACATCTCATGTATATGCACCCAAAAGGGGATGAAGGAGGAAAGAAACCAGAGGAAAGACCACTGAAGTTTTTTTGTAATAATGTGCTTTTTGTTTATTCCTGTGCTTAAGATTTTATTGCACCTTCCTGGTGGGTTTTTTTCTGTAGTTTCAGGAGAGTGAAGCTGAAGCTCAATTTTTTGCTCTGAGCATTTGAGTCTTATTACTTCCAGCTGTTACTGTTTGGGAAATAATTAATAAGACCTGAATTTTTTTGGCAGGTAAAACAGATAATTTCATGCTCCTGAATTTTATCGTTGGTTTAGAACAAAAGATAAGGTTTCATAGTTATTGAGGAAATACAGAAAAATACTTGAAGAGGGAGGCAGGAGAAGGAAGGAGAAATTTGCTCAATTTATTTAAAGACCCTACTAAAAAAGGTTTTATGATCCATCGTTACACCTGCAGCCATGAACTCTGTTTTGATATAAGATTTGTTTGAATATTTACCTCCAAAATATACTGTGATTTAAAAAAATATATTTAAAAGCTTAAATCTGAGGCCTATAAAATTAAATGTTTACATGTAAACAAATTTAGAGAGTGATTCTGCCTTGAATCTGCCTTTTGAAAGCAGTGGTTCTTAACCATTTTATACTCAAAGTACTCGTCGTTAGACATGAGACACCACTCCCAAAATGGTGACTCTTAGTTTTCACATTTTTTTTTTACTACAGAAAAATAAAGGAATAAAGGTTAGTCTAACCTGTAGAGATTGAACTTATTATAAATGTAGAGATTGAACTTATTATAAATGGATAGACATTAATCTTTGGTTCAGGAAATGCAGGCATGTGCCTGCAGTGGCTTAGGCTAGAAGCTATGGGGGATGGTGCTAGAGCAGCCCTCCCTTCCTTTACACAATGCTAAGCTGAGGGGGAGTATGGCTAGGCCCCAGCAGGATGCTATGATTAGGGAGGGCTTTAAACCTCTACCCCAGCCTGCAGTCCCCAGCCAGGGTGTGCCTGGAGGGGAAGGGGGAAGCATCCCTTGCCACACTTATCCCTTCCACTCACTACTCAAAGGGCAGGGAGTATTGCCAGACCATGGCCCCTAGCTAACACTCTGAGGCAAAGGGTTGGGGGGAACAGATGGACAAGGACTGCATGTATCTGTTGCTGATACTGAGTTTTTCAATCTCCCTCTCCCTGCTTCTTCATACTGTCTGCAGCAAACTGACAGGCACTGCATTCATTGCAAACCAGGCAATTTCTTACACCTCTCTCTGTCTCCTGTTGAACCCTGACAACAAGCCAGCAGGAAGCTTATCAGAACACAAAGCTTATCAGCCCATCAAGAAAACAAAGCCTCTCTCTCCTTAGTTCAAGCTCTTCTTAAACAGCTTTTTTACAAAGCATTTTTAAGGAAGAATGGAGGGACATTACGAGCTGTCC